ACAGTAGATCCCCGTTGGTTTAATTTTTGATTAGATTTAAGACTCCAAGCAATAACGCGCATTCGTCGTAGAGCGTGACTCGACTCACACTGATTTTGTGAAGGATGTGACAGGATTGTTTGTTGCGACGTGAGTCTTTGTGTCCGTTGGATGCAAGTGTTTGGTTTAACAGATAGCAGCCTTTGACATGATGCAACCTGCCAAGCGAATGAAGATGGCTGTGGAGACTGACCAGAAGCAGGGCTCCATTCCATGGATGGACACACAAGTGTGTGAGGATTTGGATGATGATGCGACCACGCTGCCTCCACTAAGCACTTCGGTGACTCTCCAACAGAAGCCGTGTTTTCTGACTGTGATGAACCTGTTGTTCTTCCATTGGAATATCCTCTCTTGGCCTATGCCTGTGACAACGATGATGTCTCCATGAAGGTGGCGGATTCAATTCATGTCTTCAAACCACAGGGATCGGTTGCTTCTTTCCTGCCCTCTCTCGTCCATGGCCAAAAGAATATGTCAAGATACTTGGTGGTGCTGACCAAGAAGACTCTGACTCTTTGTGTTTCAGAGACAGCAAAACCAAACGGCGGACTTGTGACTTTTCAATGTGTTATGAGGCAATTTGGTGTACTGTAGGTAGGAAATGGGAACATTTGTGACAGGGTCACCCTTTGAAGTCAGCAATGATGGTTGTTTTTGTGGCTGTGTACCAGGATTGCTGCGGAAGAGACGCTTGGAGCACGACACCCAGGAGATTGGAAGACGCGTCCGAAGAATGTTGGGTGTATATTTTTGACTACATCGTCGGAGGCCAACGGCAACCTGGCTCAGTTGCTATGCTGTCTCAAATTCAACAACCTGGAGAAGTTTGACGGCGAAGCATTGGCCACTGTGCACAAGTGACATGGGCCTTGATCGGAACCTGGTGTGCGCCCTAACCATCACGCCTCCCCTGAAGTTCAAGAATATAATTTCATCACTCGAGGATTCCTTTAATGCCAGGTTCCAATCAGACTTCAATTTTTCAGATGCTCTTGACATCACGTCAAGATTTGCCTGGAATCTGCAACACCGCAGTGTCCTGGCGTGGCATGTGCACTGCGAGCCCTGGAGTGAAAAAAGCCAACCGTTACCTGTTGCTTTGTTGCTTGGAACATTCCATTGTAGTTTCTTTTTGGCTAGCAGGCTGCTGCTTGCCAGCAACTGGGCGTGCCAGCCATTATGTGGCTGGCTGCCCGGAAGCTGGCAGGCAGTGGCTTGCTACTGAGAACAAATCATAATGGAATGGTACAACAAGCGTGAAAATTTGGCGCAGCAGATCAGCGTCAACACCAAATGTCAATTTGGCATTGGGTATATAATGCGTTTGTCAAATTTGTCAGGTGGACATTTCACACACAATAGAATAAATAATGGGCTGTTGGTGGTACATAGTATTATGAGTTCTAAGACACACTGGAATCTAAATGTGAACCAGGAACAGAGTTGCGCTGCAATGGATGTTGTTTTGGATGAAGCCACACCGTCCTTGCCCAATTCTGCAGGGGCAGTTGATTCTGATGGTGGCCAACTTCGTGATCTTGCTGAGGCCAAACAGAAAGGACAGCTTGGCAAATTGGTTGAGCAAGCAACTAAATATCAGAAGATGAAACGAGCAAAAAACCAAAGGGGAAAAAAGCGGCAAAAACGCCAAAGAGTGATTGCAAAGGCAGAGAAATCTGCAAAAGCAGAAACATCTGCAGAAGCTCGGGCAGAAGAAACCTGAAGCAAAAACCGATGCCTGAACCAAAGCGTTCAGTGAATGAAAGTAAAAAATTGCTAGCCTGCGTCCCAACACCAACTTTCAAGGGGCTTTCATGTGTAAGGTTTGTGATGGACAAGTTCAGATTCAGGATTCACATTGATCTTGTTGCTGGATATGAAAGTTAAAGCCTTTCAAACTTCCCAATCCAATTCATTTCGGTTGTGTGACCTAAGGCGTTGGTAAATCTAAAACCTTTGAAGGAACCCAGGTCCAACAAACAAAATGCAAGAAACAAGGTCATGTCATTTCGAAGACCATGTCAATACATATTCAGTCAGGCTCAACGGTTCCAATTTTGAGTATGTTGAAGTTTCAGTTTGTGTTCGTTTTGCTTTGTTTCTTTGTAAACCGGCCGTGGCTTTGGGCAAGGTTGGTTTCAGCCAGAAAAAGACTGATTTTTGTTTTTTGCCATGATTGGGGCTAGGTGCCAGTTGCTGGGCGTGCCAGCCGCTACCGCAATGGCTGGCTGCCCAAAAACTGGCAGCCAGCCTCATGGTGGCATTCTGGGTAGGGGGGACATGAACCTTTGGTTCGTTTCACTTAAATTCATTTATGCGCTGTGTGTCAGATTAACTTTTTGAATGTCTAATTCATGAGAAGCTAACTGGGGATCTACCAATCAAAAGTTTTTCAAAAGCTGCAATGAAACAATTCAAGACAACATGCAAAGTGATCATATCCGCTCTGTTTAGGAATCATTCAGTCTTTAATATAAAAAACATGCCATTAAACGTCCATAAAGGCTCAGTGTATTATGTGATTCATTGGTAGCACGACAGTTCATTGCAACGTGGTCATGGCCACAAGCAACCGACCTGATACTTCCAACACTGCCGGTGAACTGACACGATGGTACCAAATTGTATCTCAAAATTTCTTGGTTTTTGAACTATCAAATTAAAAGATGCAACCATCATGACTCAAGAGGAGTCCATTATAGGTGGAGCCCATCGCTGTTAGGTGGAGGCCATTGCGCCGTCTTTGTCACGTCTTCTGGGCCCCGCCTCAAGGAACCGCAAGTTTGAAGGAAGCAGCCGACCACCAGGTCTAAAGCGGAGAACAACAGCTTTCCTCATGAGGGCTCTGAAGGATGGGCAGCTTCACAAACACAAACAAGGTTTTCTACTAGCTTCTTGTTACTACTAGTAGCTTCTTGCTCCTAGTAGTAAGGCACTGGTTACTAGAAGCGATGCACTTGTTCCTAGTATCTTCTTGTTACTACTAGTAAGGCCAGGAGCCCCTAGTAGCGATGCACTTGTTCCCTTATTTTTTCTCAATAAAAACACACTGTTTGAGGGTTCCATTCGCTGAGGCGCCCCAGCATTTCATCCAACGGTTCCTCGGTGTCAGTGAAGCGTTTGTCGCGGTTTGTCGGATGCGCTAAAACAAGCCGCAAAGAGAGTCCGAAACCCGCGTCGATGCAAACGCACAAATTGGAACGAACACGCCGTAACAATATGCCTTTTGGAAAGCTTTGCGGCGAGGCCCTTGCGACTGGTGAGGTTCCCAAGCCGCCGGCACACGTCAATGACCGTCAATACTTTGTTTTGTTTTGCTGTGAAGGCTGGACATGTGAGAGTCGATCGAACATTCGGATTTCATGTTGTTCACCCGAAAGTTCCGACCCGGGTTCTTCGTAAGAGCCCGTTTTATGCCGGAGGTGGTTGCGCTATCATAGAGTGAAATGAAAGTCGAAGTTCTTGCACTTATCATACACGCTATTAGGTGGAGGCCATCGCTATTCGGTGGAGGCTGGAGGCCATAGCTGTTAGGTGGAGGCCATAGCTTAAGTGGAGGCCATCGCCATCAGGTGGAAGCCAACGCGTCTAGGTTGGAGGCCATACTATTAGGGTGAAAGCAATTCGCTATTGGGGGGACCACTCCGCACTGCTCCGTGCCCCTAGAGACGGGCGGATGTTCTCGTTGTGGCAAGGTACGGCACAAGGATATAGGCCAGGAGTGGCGTGTAGCGGTAGCGTGTGGCATCCGCGTTCAGCAACGCTGTCCGGTTGGCATAGGGGGATTCACCCAGCCATACTGACCTTCGAAAAGAATACGCACATTACAGTACACATACATATGTTATCACATGTTACATGTTAAATCCGAAGAAATGAGAACATTGAGATTCTGATTCTGAATGAAAACAATCCCCGACGCCAAAAACCTTTCACCTTTCAAGTCAAAGCGGCTCTGCCGCATCTGAAAAGACCTGGTAGTCGATGTCAGTATAAGGCACTTCAGCCATTAAGTCTTGGACCTGAACTCCGGACTCCGGCAGGTTGTCGACTGTTTGAGACGGAGACCGTCCTTTCTCTTTCTTCTCTTTATTATCTTTCTTCTCAAAAGGTTCTCTTTCTCTATCGAAATTGTCACTTTGTCTATCTTTCTGCTACCTCTGCCACAAGGATCAGGAGCAATCGCATCCCTGCCGCTGCCCACCTCAAAGGGCAAAACACATACCGGAAAATGAAGAAACTGTTGCCTTCACCTTCATCTTTAGATATCTGTATAAATTCTTATTGTTTCATGTTTTTTGTCTTCGACTCGATTTTTTGGCCTTTCTTTGACCTTTTTTTCTTCATGTTTTTGGAGATCGTCGCCAAGTGGCAGAAGTCTGTTGGGAGAGCATTTCTCAATCCACTCCGAGCAACGCTCCATTCGGCCGTGGCTTTGAACACCAAACAAGACACATTCGCACGTGAGCGCGTTTTTTGTTGTAAAAATGGTCCTAGTAGTAGTACCCTTTGATACTAGTAGCGATGCCCTTGTTCCTAGTAGCATCCTCTTGTTCCTAGTAATGCCACGAAAGCCCCTAACGTCCTTACTCCTAGTGGCGATGCCGTTTGTTCCTAGTAGCCTGTTTTTCCAAAAAACATATATGAACGTTTCTCTTGAAACAATTTCTTGACAAAAATTGACGTGTTTCTTTCAGTTTCTGACTGAAAACCAAGCCGAAAGGTCAGACAGTGGATCAACAAATAACCTCTGGTTTCAGTCTCCTTTTGTTTTTGTTTGTATTTCTTTTCTTCGGAGTTTCTTCATTGACCAATTGAATATTGTGTCTTTCCTTTGTGTTTTTGCCTTCCCTTTTCATAGTTTCTCTGTTTTGTGTGTTTTTTTGACATGTTCCTTTCTTTGTTCATGTTGTTCCTGAAATTTTTTGTTTCATCTGAACGTTGTCTGTGTCCCGGACCGCTGGAATTGTGGACGTAGCCCGGCGGAGGCTCGGGGTCTGCGCAGAAGTCTAGCTCGCACGACGGCTCTGTGTACCTCATGAAGACTTGAAAAGAAAAAACGAAAACACAAGAACGGTTGTATTTATATATCTGTCTTTTGGTGACTTCTACATATATATATATATCCTTTTTTTACTTCTACTTAATCCGCCGACCCTGCCTTAACCGGGCCTAAGCCAGGCGGCGCCCGGGGCACCGCAGAGTGGAACGTTCGCCTTTGTCCATTCAACGCCTCTGGCTGTGGCTCTGCCTCTGCTCTTTTTATTGGGCTTCAACGGCGCCGTCTGGAACAGCAACATAGGTTCCACGCCTCTGGCTGTGGTCTTGCACCTGGGTGTCTGGCACCCTCTCCAGCGACATTTGCACGCGAAACAACATAGGCCGCGATGCACACCTACCAGGCCTCTGGCCGTGGCCCTGCCAACCCTGTTTTACTGGGTTTCGAAGCTGCCGTCTGGAATTTGGAAAGTTGGGCAGGCCCCAGGAAATGTCATGGAATTTACAGAACACGGGTGATCGGGCTTGCGCTCAGTCTTCCGAAATGTGGCTGTGGCGTGTACGGTTTTGGGCTGGGGTGGGCTGGGTCAACACTGTCTTCATCGCAAACCGTGGCAGTGCATTGCTGCGACCTTTTAAAACACACAGATGATAGTGCGCGCCACACACACAGCGTACATGCAATGACCCTGTGCGTGAGGACAGTCTGGAGCGCCACTATGAACAAATCATTCTGGGCAACAAGGGCCAATCTTGCAACTTCCCTTTTTTTAATTCGATGTGCGCCCCACGGATTTGAGTTTAGAATTCAGAGAGTCTTCGTCCCCCGTGCGCGGGCTCCGGTCACGATATGTGCAGGTATTGTCAGGAAACTTGGAGAGGTTTACCGGAGAACGCCATAGGGTGCTAGAGGGGAGGCAGCAGCATAGTATTGCAATTTGCGCACGCTCGGGCAAGTCATTCATTGAAAGAACCTGCTTCTTGGTGTGAACTGGAGGGTAATTTTGTGTGTGCGCGCGGGTCATGACATTATGTGCACCTTTTACGCGCCCCGCAAAGTAGGGGTGGGCAGCGCCAGGGCATCACCCTTCTGTCGGGCCAGCGGGGGCTGGCCCGTGGGTAGCAGGATTCCACTGCCGAAGGCGGTCGCTTGCGCGACGCGACTACGTGTAGACCTTGCATAATCACTGCATGGGGAGAATTAAGGCTTGGAGGCCTTCCCAGGCGAGGGCGGAGGGGCTATAGAAAACCTCGCAAGTAATACCGGTGTTTTCACGCATGCATACAAGCGCAGGCACAAAAGACATTCAAAAACACTGTGTTTTGCAACGCTTGTTGATTGCAAATCAATCTTTCCCCCCAAACAGTGTGTCCACATTAGTTAGGCATGGGTGTCTGGTGCTCATTGGCGTGAGCGCAATACTTTGCCATGGTGGTGGTATTGGTGGTCTTCGGCGTATTCGGATTTTTCGTAGCAGGTGGATGAATCGTGACTTTTGGACACGTGGCCCGCTGTCAGAAATCGGAGGACGTCTCGTCTTTAGCGAAAGCAGCGTGGTGGCATCTTCACGTTGTCTTTGGATATGCTCTTGCTGCCTTGCCAAGGCTGCGCGATGTGAATCTTATTGCGCAGATTTCGAGGCAGGCGATCACCACCCTCACCACCGCCATCGACATCATCATCGCCACAACCGTCGCCGTCACCACCATCACCAACAGTGCAACACCGCCACCGTCAACGCCATCACCACCACCACCATCACCTCACGCTGGAACTCACTTAGACCTTCAGCTACACTAACCAAACTTTACACTGTTTGGGGTCTCTTGGCGGGATTAAGTTTTACAGCGCGCTCGTTAGGGTACCCCTCGCATTTAAGTCACAGCAACCACCACCACCACCACCACCACCAACGCTACCGCCACCACCACCACCACTGCCAACAACACCAACAACAACCAAAACAGCAACAGCCACAACCACCACACCAACCACTGCAAACACCACCAGAACACCACCAACAAGCGCGACAAGCGCCACGCTCATCTGATTCCCTCTGCCGCTGCACACTGTTGGGGGCAAGCCCTCACATCGGGCCAGCAGGGGGCTGGCCCTGAATAAGTCAAGGCGGCTGTTTGCAGGGCCAGGAAGGCGCCGCCAACGTGCAGCTGAAGCGTGCGCGGTAATGCCGCTGGGCCACTGAGAAGGAGGTCTGGAGGTGCGCCCGGACGCAAGGGAAAAGGGCGACTAATCGCTTCTAGTAGCTGCACGATAGCTGGAGCAGGCGGCTGGGGAAGGCTTCCTTGAAGAAACGCTCGCACTAATGATATGGTTTCTAGACTTTTTTGGCTAGGGAAACTTGAGTCAAGAGAAAGGATACAGAAGAGATTGAGAAGAGGCAAAGAATAAGGAACGCAATTGCTGGTAGCATCAAGGCGATTTCTTTTTTTGACGGTCGCAGGTAGCTACTAACTAGCAAAACAGCAGTAAGGGTCACCTATAGCGCAAAATAATCCCTTGCGTGGCCAAAACTGAAATTAAGTAGGAAATCCCTTCACGTTCTTTCAAAAAAATTGCGTGAGCTAGCAAAAAATAAACACCTCCGCCGACAATTCCTTACCCTTGTTCTCTTCGTCCAATTTTGCCAGTAAATTCATGTGTTTTCCATGGCTAGTTGGAGGCCCTCGCTGGTAGATTTGAAAAAAACTATATAGAACAAAACTGTTCCTTCTCTTCGTCTTATTTTGTACGCTAATTAGTTTAACTCCTGTGTTTTCTTGATTCTTCGCAAGAACAAAACACGTCCTACGACCTCATGCTGGCAGCATCGGTGGTCAAACAGCCCATACTCCCTTGGAAATCTGTCGAATTTTTCCACTATTGTTTCTTCTCATTCATCCAGTTGCTTTTTGTTTATCTTCAACTCATGTGAACTCGTCACACAGTCTGGTATTGTCTTTTGTTGCTTTTGTTATCCCGATTCCCCGGCTGCAACATGCTGCAACCTTGACTTAAGTAGCTGACTGAAGGCCAAACTTTCCACCCGGGTTTTCGCAGAATGCCGTTGTCGAGATGCCTCACGTGAATGGCGGCGAACATCGGCCGACGAGAGAAATGCAGCTGGAAGCAAAAGGGGTAGCGAACATCTGATGCAAAGCAGCTTTGAGCATTTCTCTTCAGAGCGCCGACCATATAGGAAAAATGTTTGAAACAGGTGCTAAGAAAAGGGTTGACCTAGAAGCAAAAAGGCGCTGAAAAAGAAAAACGGCAACAACACCCCAACCTTTCAACAGTCTTTGAATTGCAAAAACATAATAATGGATTCCTTTTCAATAAAAACCAACAAACGTTCGTAAAATGTTTTCCACTCTTTCGAGCTCTCTTGTTACTCCGAAGTGGCCGAGGTAAGGTGCTCGACAGGAGATGACACATTGCCTCAGTATTTTGCAAGAACAGATCGACATAATTTTTTCAATTCCGCTCGAGTGTTTTCTTTGATTTTTCCAATGTCCTTTCCACAAACTCTCTAAGATTCTTTAAGTCAGTTCACTTGTGTGCATAATTTCCATGTCTCTTGTATCTCTTTTTTTGCTTTTGCATCCGGTCTTTCATCTTCCCATCACCAATTCTCCCCATCTCCATACCCATCGGCCAGCCGGCTGTGAAATTTCGATGCCTTCGCAGCTGCTTGCATCCTTGGATAAGTCTAAGTCGAGCGGAGGAGCGACATCAACTGCAAACGGCACTGAAAAAGAACAAAGACAATAGACAAAAATGAAAACCCTCACACGCCCGCCAGGATAAATTTCAGGCACAACCTGAGTTCGAGCCTAGCGCAAGGTATGTGAACGTGTATGCTCACTGCGTGACTGCCTGACACCCTGCGCGTCATCGTCTTCCAAAGCATGTGTTCAAGTTTCTTTGGGCTGTGAGCATTGTGAGCTTTCTCGATTTCGACCTGTCGAAAAACATGAAATTCCCGGCGTCTCTCAGGCCAGTCCATGTAGCGCCCTCAAGCCTGCTTCCACCTGTCATCGTTTTACCTTTTCTTGCCTTTAGCTTTTGACTTTCCACCTCCCTTTGCATAGGGCTCAGCTCTCTTCCATCTTGCACTTGCCTTCATCTATCTTGCGTTTACCTGCGGTCTTGCTCTTCCCTCCTTTCTTGCCTTTGCCATCTTCGCTTCTTGCGTCGCTTGTCAAATCCCTTGGCCGCCTTCTTCGAGCGTGGGGTCCATTGTACGCCACACTTCTTCATTTACGCGAGCATAGTTCAAGCTTTTGACATGGAAAATGAACTGCCTCGCAATTGACCAACTTGAACCGTGTCATAGGCCCTCAACGACAAGATTTCACCGCCTTCTTCAAACTTCTTCATCTCTTCTTTAACTTCTTTTATCTTCTTCTGGCCCTTGCGCCGAGCTTGCGCTGGAGCTCTCCTTTTTGGGGTTCGTCAACTTCTTATTCAGCTTTGGGTCTCGCCATCGTGATATAGGCATGTATAGTTGGCCCACATCGTGTACTCCCGGCGCACCTTCTCCGGTTTGTCTTCTTCCTTTCTCGCGCGCGGTGGGCGTAGTTGCCACCAAATCCACTCATGTTGGTCGTTCTCGAGCAGGGTGTCTTCATTCATTTTCTCGTCTTCTCCGTTCGCTGCTTGATTCTTTGGTTTCTGCAAGGTGTGCATTCATCGTGTTTCTCAAGATATCCCAGCTGTTCTGAAACTTCACCAACTGTTCATCCATCCTCCATAGCGTGCGCAGCAAAATGCCAACTCCGGCTAGGATGCCGCATGCCGGATCATGATGATCAGTACTAGCCTGTTGACTTCATCCTTTGAACTGTCGTGCTTCTTGCTTGGCTTTCTCGCTTTCAATCTCTTCTCTTCTCTGCCGAGTTCTTCTGCGTCATCTTCAAAGCCAGTCAAGTACATGAGCTTCCTTAGTCTCCTTCCTGGTATGATCTTTGGGCCAAATCTGCAGGGTTCGTGATCGCGTCGACCCTCCTCAAGTGCACATCTTTGCCCTGCTTTCTTTGCGCCAAAGAGGTCTTCCAGAAAGATGCTTTAAACTTCTGCTTTCTCCTCCAGTCCAGCAATGACCAGCAAAATGATTCCATCTCCTCTCATCTTCTCTCCACAATGTCACCTGCCAGGACCATCCTGATCTGTTGCGCTGACGCAGGCTCTGCTGCTTCTGAAGGCAGAGGGGCACTTGGTCTGGAGGGGAAACTTTCCGACGACGCAATGCTTTGTGGGATGTGCGCTTGAGCTTCTTTGTTGGGCTGGCTTCAACGCGCCTCCTCTCGTTTCTCCAAGCTGTCGAGCAAATCCTGCGCAGCATATCATCCGTCACCTCCAAAGGCTTCTTGCTAGTGTTGCTAAGTGCACACTCTTCACCTAAACTTCGAATCTCTGTCAAGTTCGGCTTTCTTTTCTTCTCAGTCATCTCTTTCACGCGTTGCTTCTGCCTTCTCTTCTGCTCTGATCTATGCTGGCATGTTCTGGGGTGATAGCGCAGAGGGAAACTTTGCTGTCAATGCCGACGCTTAAGCGCCAATCTGTCCATAGCCAACGCCCCGAAGAATCATGAAAAGTCGTCAGAGATCGATTGAGCAACGGCCCAGCCAAGCTGCTATGCACCTGTTCTGCTCGATCTTGATGCTCCCGATCCATCTCGACAAAGTCCATCGTGGAATCTGATTTCTCGGGTTCACCCAGATCTTTCTGATAGACTTTGTCAGCAAAAGTCAACCAGGAGAACGTCAATCTCCTATCCTGCCACATTGTGACCTCCTGCTCTTGATTGCTTGGTGCAAACGGTTCTGGCTGCTTTGAACACCTTGTCGCACTTCCAAAGCCAGCTCCTTAATGTTGTCGTTCTCTTCCTTCATGGTCTGCACGGCCTCAACTATGGCACTATGGCAATTGCGCTCTCAACTAGTGCCTGAACGGCTTCAGACATCATCTCTTCCTTCTTTTCTTTTCACCTTCGCTTTGCAAGCCCTTCCGTCTTCTTTTCCTGTCTTTTTCACCTCACAGATCAGCTGACCTGGGGTTTATTTACTGAGCAGCCGGGTGGCACCAAAACCCTTTTCGCGTCCAACCTGAGTTCGAGCCTAACGAAGGTATGTGAACGTGTCTGCTCACTGCGTGACTGCCTGACAACAAGAGACTTCAGAATGGACTGGGCTGAAAGAGATTTCGCCGACAAGAAACTGGGCTGATTTCAGCAACATCATGACGTGTGTGCCATCTTGGACCCTTTATAAGATGGATATTTAGAGAGCAGCATTCGAAAAAGAAACCAGAAACCCACGAACCGGAATACAAACACGTACTCGGAAAACACCCCAAAAAATTTTTACACTCTTGTACTGCGCATTCTTTTCGGAAACCTTTGTGGAACACCTTGTGCGACACTCACTCTTGTGGGACACTCTTACGGAACGCTCTTGCAGGACACTCTTGTGAGACACTCTTGTACGATACTTTTGTGGGACACTCTTGTGGGACACTGCGAAACAGTCTTGTATAGGACACTCTTGTGGGACACTTTTGTATGTAACTCTTGTAGGACACTCTTGTCGGACAATCTTATGGGGCACTCTTGTGGAACACTCTTGTTTGCCACTCTTGTGGGACACTCTTGTATGACACTCACGCTTGCGGGGCACTTGCGGAACACTCTTGTAGGACACTCTTGTGGGAAAGTCTTGCGGGGCACTTTTGTGGGACACTCTTGCAAGACACTCTTGTAGGGCACTCTTGTAGACACTCTTGTCGGACACTCTTGTAGGACTCCGTCGGTGTGGGGCGCTGCAATAGTAGGGAGACCTCCTCCAAAGTCACGCGCCAAGACTGCAAAACGAGCGTTTCGCACGAGACTTCCTCCAACATTCACTCGTCAAGTCTCCAAAACGAGCGTTCACTTTGCGAAACAGTCTTGTAGGACACTCTTGTCTGACACTCTCGTGGGACACTCTTGTAGGACTCTGTAGGACACTCTTGTGGGGCACTGCTACTAAAGTCTCCAAAAAACAACCGGCGCATATTATCCAAACCGAGCGTTTTGCGCAAGACTTCCTCCAAAAGTCACGCGTCAAGACCGCGCGAAACTTCTTCCAAAATTCACTCGTCAAGTCTCCAAAACGATCGTTTCGTGCGAGACTTCCTCCAAAAGTCAAGCCCTGCCAAGTAGTTTCGCGATTCCAGCCCCTTCAAACAACGCCCACTCACACGCCAATCCCAATGTCACAGCAACATTCACCTCCACCACAACTTGCAACCTCACGATGCCTGCGCCTGCCACGAAAATGTACGCGCCCACACGTCTAACACGCACAAAGTACCGCGCCTGACATGAAATGTGACCTCGTAACCTCACGATTCCCTGCGCCTGCCACGAACATCACACTTCCACACATCCAAAAATGCATAAAAGTACTGCACCTGCCACGAAAAGTGACCATATCATATCATGTGAGCTTCAACAAAATTTGCACCGCGCCACACGTTTGGAATGATTTTGACCCGTTCTGAGCACACTCACATCCACCAAAATCGCCATTTCAGCTGAGACTTGTCACGAAGAGAGCTTCGATGCAGCACCCTGAAACGCAAATCCCAATGTCGCAGCCACATCCAACACCCCAAAAGCACCACTCTCCAAACGCTAACTCCAATGTGACTGCGCAGAAGACAGCGAATCTCACAAAACGCTGCGCCTGCGCGGTGAAATCATCCTCCACACTTCAACATCTTACATTTCCATAATTCCTCGCTATTTCACGAATCTGACACGTCACGTTTCCATCCGAAACCCTCTCCAAAAAGCTTCCCCCTGTGGCAGCGCCTTAGCGCCCTACCGCGGACGGTTGCGAACGGTTGACAACGGTTGCGAACGCTGAGACAACGGTCGCGAACAAGGCTCCACCCCCAGACCCCCAGAGTTAAACGAGAACCCTTCGCTATCGAGAAAAGGATTCAGACGAATTCCGACTCGATCCGAGTTCTGTCGACACGGACGGCGAATGCGAGAAGTCCAGAGGTGGATGGTCCTGGTGCCTTACGATCGGATTTCAGGAACGTTTTGCATGTTTTCTTCCCCTTTGCCCTAACTCACGCACTATTCCTTTGGCTTCTAGATTCTTAGGAAAACCTAACAAGTCCGAATCCACCTCTATGCCGGAGCTTAGCTATGCACATAGAGGCAGTGATCCAGCAAAGGTGAAGAACACCTCAGTGAATCATCTCATGTTTTTGTCCTTTTCGTTCCATTTTGGGCTCCAACATGTTTGATTTCTCTTTTAGAGAGAAATGCATTTCTTTAACATGGATTTCATATTTGCTTATAGAAACAATAAGCTAGTAGGAACAAGTGCATCGCTTCTAGTAACAAGTGCATTACTAGTAACAATGTTAGCTATTAGAAACAAATAGCTTCCTTTGTAGCAAAAACTTTTTTTTGTTCGGAGCGCCCTTGGTTCGGTTCGGGGCCCCGAACGGGCCAGGCTTCTCGCAGCCGATGACCATGGGCTCCAAGAGGCAAAAGCCCGGCTGCGCGAAGAACCGATGAACAGAAAAGAAAAAAGGAACATTTTTTAAAAAATATTTTATATAATAATAGATTTGAATTTCTAAACAAACATAGAAATTGTATTGACCAGACTTGTTCGCTCCTACTTAGTGGCTACGCAGGATTGCTCCTCCGAGCCTTCCCGCCGCACCTTCGAATGAACAGCTTGTGCGAATGATTTAGTTCAATTTTCAGGGAACCATACTGTGCTCGAACACCTGGCCCGGCGTAAACCGGTCACCACAACCTTTCTTTGTTCGTTCTTGTCTTTACTCTCCGATACTCTGCTACTTTATGCTACGCTCTCGCCTTTGCTTCGTTGGTAGCAAAAAAAGTATCGATGTTATTCGATGTAACATCACACAAAGGCCACAAAGGTGTGACACGCACATCACACTCACACCATCACCAAGATGTTTGCAGTTTGCGCACCTGTTCCACTGCACAGGGTCCAACGCCGAATTGCAGGTGGTATGAGAAATTATGTACCAAGGTCTACGCTAGTCTTTTCCCGATATACACTCTCTTCCTGCGTGTCTTCTTCAAAGATTTCCTTTCAAACAAAACGCAAAGTGTTGGTGTTGTCCTTGCGTCCTGTTTTTTCGCGCACATGGTTGCACAGGACACATGTTGACAACATGAGGACACGTTCTCGTCTTCCTCCTCGCTTTCTTCCATTCTTTCACTTCTTTTAAACTTCTTTGTCTTTGGACAAATTTCCACATCTGAAGGTTGGAGGCCATCGCTCTTAGGTTGGATGCCATCGCTCTTGGGTTGAAGGCCATTGCTTCTAGGTTGAAGGCCGTTGCTTCTAGTTAAAGGCCATTGCTTCTAGGTTGGAGGCCATTAAAACTAGGCTGGAGGCCATCGCTCTTAGGTTGGAGGCCAAAGCAAGTAGGTTGGAGGGCATGGCTCTTAGGTTGGAGGCCATCGCTCCTGGGTTGAAGGCCATTGCCCTTCTTTTTTGTTGCCGCAAAACAACGTGCATATTTTTATCCATTTCTCTTTCTATTTTCACTTGGTCCGTCTGTGTCCGTGTCCTTTCACGGGAACAAGAAACCCGCACAGTGATACGCATAACAATCGACTGCCTGACTGCAAACCACCTCTGCTGTGCCCGTGTAGCTCTTGTTCTCATCACAAAACCTGCAGAATTCTTCATTGATTCTCTTCGTGTCTTCTTTTCGCAAACATTCAAGACACAACGATTGCACATTATTCGAAACGTTGTCAAAAGCGCACCATCCGGATGCGTTGACCAAGTATCCCTCTGGCACGGTCGTGGGGTTGGGGCCTGAAAAGTTGTCAAACGATTGCATTTCGAACGCAAAATTTGATGCAGTAGAAACGGTCCGAAAGGGGAACTGCCGGCCCTTTCCCATGTCAAGATCCCGGGCATAAACATTTGGATGGAACCCACTCGAAGGCCTCAGTCGTCATTGTTACTGTAAAGACTTGAGGCCAAGGGGGGGGGCGAAAGCTAGCGCTCCAGAATGGGAAAGTGGAGGGCAGCGAGGTAGGAAAAAACACGGCGCTCTTTTTGGAGGCAGGGGTGAAGAGTCCTTTATATGTGGCTCTTTGCCCGGATCCTCCTGCGAGAGAAGAGAGAGAAGAGAGACGGAAAGACGAGAGACAGAGAGGAGAGAGAGAGAGAGGAGAGAGAGATGAGAGAGATGAGAAAGAGATGAGAAAGAGATGAGAGAGATGAGAGAGATGAAGAGACAGTGAGACAGTGAGACAGTGTGAGAGTGTGAGAGTGTGAGTGAGCGAGTGCGGCCGCAAGATACGCAACGCTAACCGCATGCCAAAGAGCGACGACAGGACGGAGTCGAACTTGCGAAGAGGGAGGAGGGAGGGAGGGAGGGAAGGTGGGAGGAAGACAAGGAGGAGGAGAGGGGAGGTGGGGTGGGGAGAGGGGAGAGGGGAGAGGGGAGAGGGGAGAGGGGAGAGGGGAAAGGGGAAAGGGGAAAGGGGAGGAGGGGAGGAGGGGAGGAGGGGGGTGAAAGAGTGACTAGGGCGTACACGGTAGAGGTGCAGACCGCTAGTGTCTTTTGTGCGCAGAGTCTTATCCTCTTGCTCTTTGAGCCTTGAAGCAGTCAAGCATGGACACACTATATCGGCTGTTGGAGTGGAACCCTGTACAGGTAGGCTCTACTTTTCAGCAGGCACAAGATTCATGTCCACTCCTAGCTGATTGCGTATGTCGCATACTCTCTTTCTACTGCAAGGCTAAAACAGTCCAGCTAGCTCTAGCAACTTAAAAGAAAACTACGGTGCCATGTACTTACCTAATCCAGTGTGTTTCACACTATAGAGAAGGTAATCTCAAAGCTACTAAATACAGTGAGGGAGCAATAGCTGACTCACCTCAAGTACAAAATCAAAATGATAATGTACCTCGGCTGGAGACTGTACTTTTCACAGGCGGAGATACCATGTACCGGCGCTCACTAGCTCTTTATGGCCTGAGCTAAATCAAACTAAAAAGGGAAAGCGGCTTTTTCTCTACAGAGACCTATAAAAGAATCAAACGACACTCGCGTAACAAGGCACTAAAAATTCAAGACCGCACAAATGCAATTAATTAAAATGCCTTGCAAAATGCAAGGAGCGTACGGTCCGAGGAATAATCTTCTCGTGACGTGGTCTCGACCGCTTTCATTCACAGACAAAATAAACTGCATCAAAAGGACTCTCTTTCACATTCACATCAAAAACACAAGAAGGAGATACCGGCAAATGTATGTACAAAAAAATCTTGCACTACAATTGCAAATCATGAAATGACTTAATCATCAACCATGACTGGTTGTCCACTAGAGGTCATTTCATAAGAGCGGTGGTGATAGATATCATCAGTTCTGTAAAACTGTCCATACCTATCTACATGCTAAAGCATATAAACCTGGAATGCAGGAGTATCTTCTTTGATAAAAAGTTTCTCCTCATTGCAAACCAGAATTTATTAAAACTTCAGCCTGGCAACTTAAAGTCAAGCCTGGAAGCAAAGTATCAACTGTAACCAGAAGTATCTTCACTTCCTAGCCATCATTTAAATTTCAGCCTTCGCTCAAGAATTATGCCGCTGCAAACGATGAAGCTGCTTGATCAGAAGTTGGCGGCCTTCCTTTCCTTTTATTCTCTTTCTGTTTCTCCTTCCTCCGCAGTTTCGCCTCATGAAGCGTTGCTCCCATGCGATACTGTCTTCTGTCTCCAGATGAAAAGGAAGCTGGTCTGAGTGAAATAAACATTGGACCATGACTGTCCTCGTCAGTGGGCCTTGAGCACATAACCTCCGTGTCAATCATAGCAAAGTTCTCTGAAAAATTACAGATGAACTCCTTCGTGCTCACTGTGGAATTTTCATATTCCTCTTCACTCATTGAATGACCCCATTCAACAATGGTAGACAAACATGTATCGCCAAGCTGTGATCCTTGGTATTCTTCTTTTTCAACAGTAGAATATTCTTCCCAGAGTTTATCAAAGTAAACTTCACACTTCTTGAGGACCTGTGAAGTTGAACTGTAAAATGTTCTGGGAATAGGTGCTTTGATACCAGGATCTGCTTTTACACGAGCTTCTGAAAACCTGCGGATCCAATGCTGCATGGTGCTGTAATAGTAGTTAGCCATTGGCTGCCTTTTGTACCCAGACATTCTGTAGGCCAAACTATTTGCATCACCAGAAATGATGTCCACCTCATAGACAAAACACTCGTAAAGCATCAATGCTGTCTGTTCTCCTGTCAGTAGGTGGGCATCCACAGCACGGTGTGTATCAACATGATAATTACAGACTCTGATGGTATGCATGTTCGCTCGAGTAAGTGGAACACGCTTGTCCTCAGGACCATAGTCATCAAATTCAAAGTCTGCATCCTTGAAATCTTGACGAGGCCTTGTTTCTCCAAAACAAATCTCGTAGATAGCCCAAGTTACATCACGCTGTTCACAGTGACCAAGTTCTTGATCATGTCCAGCAATGATCTTGACATATCCACCTGGTGCCAATCTAGCCATCACTGCAAGATTCTCCCAATCATTGAAACAAACTGTCCAATTCTTTTGCTCAATAAATTCCTTGGCAGGAACAAGAAGATGAGCTTCCTGGAGAATCACGACATGTGCACGTAGAAAGAAGAGCATGTTGAAGAAAAGGTTGTTCTCAAATTGCTCATTCTGAAGTGACATGGCGCTCTGTTTGCGTGGCCTCATTGCACTATCAAGTCCTTGGAGAAACCTTGGTGTGGTGTACTTCTGACCACGAACCATGTTGCCATAGTTCCAGGATAAAAATGTCAAGGACTCTGAGCTGGCCAATAAGTTAGTTCCGTATGGTTCTTCTATTCTTCCCTTGAGGAACCTTCTGCACAGCTCTTCATAGAAGGTGACAGAGTCCCAACTGGGTCCCTTGGGACCATATGATTCCAGTTCCTTCTTGAGTTCCTTCTTCGTCTCCTCCAATTCTTCTCGAGCATGTCCTGCCCTTTCAAGGGCCTTTGGATCGACCTGATACTTGCCATCCAAATGAATGATGCGATCATCATTGATAAAGAATCTCTTCAAATCATGCTCTGGTTCATGTTCATAACAATCAGGTGGAGGTACTGGACAGATATTACGAATGGATCGAACAAAATCATTCTCATTGATCCTCGACTGATAATGAGGATGGGAAATCTCACCTTTCCTGAAACAAACATGATTCAGCAATCTTGCGTGAGTCTCCCTGAAGCATAGTTGATAAAGGCCAATACCTGGATCTCCTGTAAGCTCTCCAAGCAACTTCAAAGGTGAAGTATGCAGCTCATAGGTATTGTCAACTTTTGTTGTATCCTTTTCAACAACTACTTCAGATGGAAAAGATTCCTGGATTTCAGCCTCCAATTTCTTCTCTCCATCATCCTCTCTGACCTCTTTTATTTTCTCCACCGCCTCTTTCTTCTCTTCCATGGTTGCATCATCCTGAACTTCTTCATGAAAATGAGGATCAGGTATTTTATTCAGGCGGCTTTTCTTAGATTTCGGCAGACGTAGAGTATCATCAAGGTTATAGCATCCATCTCACCTGATGGTAAGTGCGATGCAGTCGAGTCCTCACCTATCTCTCTTGACAGAAAGTGTGGTGTTGACTCTTCCTTGGCTTCCTCCTGGTCCACTTCCATCTTTGGTTCCTCTGAAGGAAAAACACCTGCATCTTCATCAAATATTTCTTCTTCCTTTCCAGGTTCAACTGCAGGATCTTCATCCGGAACTTCCTCTTCCATATTCTCATCTTCTAGAAGTGTCCTACTTCCAGTATAGATTTCACCAGCGATAGTGGAGACTCTTGTATAAGGAGGAACTTCTTCACCTGCTTCAAAAGCTTGTTCTGCAACATCCTTGGTGAGCAAGTCCTCTACAAGATTCTCTCCCTCGGTTCTTGGAAGAGGTCCTGAGGTCTCATAAAAATCTGTCCTCTCTGAACTGAAAGCTTCTGTCGCCTTCTCATTGTCCTTTTGATCCCTGAACAGGTGAGTAATCTTCACAGCTTCTCCCTGTAGCACCTGATCACCTCCTCTATACTTGTCGACAATGGAGCGCCATACTGGAACATCATCATCATCAAAATCAAGCTCCATATCATCTGCCAACAGGTATGAGATGTTTTGAGCTGCCTGTTCTTCTTCTTCATCACGTTCTTTGGCAAGCTCCTCATCCTTCTAGATCTTGAAGATACCCTTCAGGATGTCTTGTAGTACCTTTAAGTTCAGCTTCGATGATGGCTCATACGTCCCTGAACTTACAGGCTCAACTACAACACGAGAGCAAGAAATCGCCTCCAAAAACTTGGAATTGTATTGGCGTTCAAACTCTTCCTTCTTGATCATCTCATACAAGGGATCAGAAACTGCAACACGCGCCTGAACATACTCACGAAGTTGATAGCATGCATGTTGCACAAATCTACTGTTGGAGTTGTGAAGAAAACTCTCTAAATGGTTCCTGTCACGGTCAATCAAATACCACACAATCCTTGCAGAAAAACGGAATTTCTTGAAGTTCATAGCAAAATGTGTATGATACTTCTCTGGATTCCTTTCTGCTTGTAAAGCGGCCTCTGAAGTCTTGTAGGCTGGGAGATTTGTGTCTGGATCCAAGATCATAAACTCTTCCCACAATATCGAGTGGTCAAGAACCCACTTGGGAAGCACCTTGATGAAAAGTCACAAACAAGTTCTGACACAAGGTGCATGACACGACCAATCTCTTCCTCCTGCTTGAAGCGATAGTGCAATTTGGCAAATAAAGGATTGTTGAATGCTTCCTCCACTGTGTTGCCAAAATTATCCCACTGAGGTTCTGGAATACCAAAGTTCCAACCCAGCAATTTGGGATCTCTGCACATATCCAAGAAGCTTGAAAGTTCTATGGATTGAATACCAT